AGGTAGCAATGGGACTCCTCAGTGTCCATGTAATTGCTACATGACCACAGAGAGCTCAGATTCTGACTTCGCAAAATAATCTGTATGTGCAAATTACTGCCGTAAATCTTTAACAGTCTGTCCTGTGGTCAGTTCAGTTTTGATGTTTCTTAGATGGAGATTATAGTTACAATGTATTTTAGCTATTTATTATGAATCAATATAAACTATGCTTCAGCTCCATGGAGAAAGAGGGAAAAAAACATCAATTTAGTTTGAGAGATTCCGGCCCAGTATGCTGAAGGTGATCGGAGTGGTGTGTTTTCCCAAGCAAAGCTGCACAATTGTGCATTTTCCTTGTCTTGTTAAACCACCAGGTATGGTGGTGAGTGGCAAGCAAGACCCCTATGGGTTTGGCTGACTTTCACCTTCTGAATTTTCTTTTCAGCAAGTCCTAACCATATCTGGTTATAATGAAAGCTGTACAACATCAAATCATGTCGCTTGCCTTGTCCAATTTTTAGTCAGCTTATGTTCACATTTTCTTCCACCGAAGCTTTAATAATGCTACTACTGTACGCATTTCGCTTGGTGAGCTGAGTCCTGCCATTACTTGGAGTCAAGCAAAGATATTTATATTTTCTACGCTTGAATGTTATATGTATCTTAAACGCCCATGCTGCAGGCTTGATGGTTAGCCAAAGCCATATTGGTGAGTGGCTGGTAAGACAAAAGGCAGTAAATGCTTACGCAATTTCTTGCTTTTATGTAGGTGGGCAGAACTGAATATGTGGATGGATCAGGTGCTAGAGGTGAGGTCTCATCACTTTGTTTGTTCGATTTCACTTAAAGAACCGTGAAATAGTAGATATGTGGATTATCAGCAACCAAGCACCTCATTCTTCAGAACTGGTGGAAAGTATTTATGTATGGTTTGCTTTATTTCTATTAGTATTAGTACTGTATATTAGAAGCCAGTATGCCTATAACTTACACTCACACATTGGATCAGCATCTATCATCATAGTCGATCCTGGATCCCCACATTAGATGAAACCAACTCAACACAAGATACGAATTAGGTTTTGTATATGGTGAACTCCGATATGCCTTTCGAGACCAAGATCAAGCAATCGGATCCTTCCCTTTCATTACCAGTGTACGTACATGGTGCTGTCATGCTCTGTTCTTAGATTACAAGCAACTTAGTTTTTATTTTAACCTTCATTTCATGCCACCATATATCTATATGCGCATCAATTCCTATTATTTTATTACAAAAATGAGGGGTGGCAGCAGCCCAATGGAAATTATGTAACTTCCATTCTGCACTGATAGCTTCCATAGTGCCATGAAGTAGTGTTCCACATCATTCACAAAAATCATAGCTTTCCATCATTACTATCGATGTTTCTCCACTTTAACTTATAATTCTTGTAGTTTCCTGCAAATTCTTTCTTAAGGTATCTGCCATCCATTCATCGAGTGAAAGCTAGCTGTTACTCATATGGACAACTGTATACACGAAACTACAATGAGAATAATCCTTCCCAAGTTAGTACAATATTACTAGAAGCGGTCTGCCCGCTTTACGGCACCGCTTTTAATTGTGGGCCACTCTTTTTTCCCCTGGTTTTGGTTGAAATCGTTTCCTGTTAGATTTAGCCATGACAGTGGGAGCGGTTGGAGGCAACACTCACGTGTCATCATTTGAAGCAAAAGCCATACTCCTACTTATGGCTATGGTACACCGTACACATGTAGTATAAGGCACTGACTGACCGAGAGCATGATATACTCCTTTATTGAAATAGAGTTCCTTTTTGAAAGTTTCAAATAGAATATCAAACATGAGTTCTGTTTCTTGAATATTGCACTGTAGTGTGCTTGATGGAAAGTTTTTTTAATTACAGTAGACCAAAGAAGAAACCCTTAGTTCATCATCACCAATGTCCAACAGCAAATTAACTGTAGAAACAGAAGACATGATACAAACAAAGCATAGTAAACCGACCAAGTTGGGATAGGGTGAGAATGTGAGATACGTGCAAAAATTATTCTTTATCTGCCACAGCCCACAACAGACAAATTTATACGAATAGGTAAAACCAACCTGGAAGGCTGCACTTCCAGAATACATTTATCTTCGATAAAGCTGTAACAGGGATGAAAATCTTCCGGGCACAATTGGAACATGATTCCTGCCTGATTACCACAATACTTCCAGTATACCTGAGAGCCATATGAACAAAATTTTCAATGCTTACCAGACTATGATAAAAACTACTTGCAAAGCTCACCACCTATTGGTCCTGTAAGTAACTGAAGTGGAAGTTATTCACATTTTGCCTACAGCGCAAGGAAAAAATGAAAGGAAATGCTAGTCATAGAGTGGTATGAACCTACAGTCAAGTCATGGTTGACTGCAAGTAAATATCAGAAAAAGCAATCACGGTCAGTTCACCATTTCCAACTTCCCGTGAAGAATGGAAGTATGTTTTAGTGTTAGATTAGAAACCACTCCAAATGCCATGAGCCATCAAAACTTCTCCACTTTCACTCTAGCTCTAGGTTCGAGAACAAAGTGTTTCTAAAAGTTAGCACTTATTTTGTAATACTATGAAACATTATTGAATGCAATTTAGCTTGGCCTAGTAATATAACACTGGTATAGCTTATGATGTGCAACTTGCTCCTGCCTTAAGTCTCCATGGTTTAATCTTTTAGCGGACGTATGGAACCCAGGAATTTCATAGATAATTTTGAGAATTTCCCTGCAAAATGTTTAGTTATGTGCCTTTGATTTTTTGCACTTGCCTCTCACTTCTAATTTATCTTGTGATGTTTAAGATTTTAGTAGCATCAACAAGCTTTCCAGACAACCAGCTAGCCCATGAACTGAAACTGACATTTTTTATGTTACTCCACTCTGGTGAAGCAGGAGATGGTCTGGTCTTGTGCTCATTTGGTCTGTGAGCAGCGGAATGTCCAAGGTGCATATGGTTGTACAGGAGAGGTGAAGGAAGAAGTGAAGTGCATCAAGGCCATTACAGAGGTAAACCTATCATTTGTCTATGTTCAGAATATGATGGAATTTCAAACTAATTGCATTGTGAAAGTGCACACGAAATGCATCCTATTGATGGGTGTGCATCTGCACAGGCTGATACAGAGGGAAGGCTATCTTATAGTCATGTGTTAAGGGACAGCAGCAGCAGATGACGGCGCGGGACGAAGAGGATTTGTATTTTCGAAACAGTTTCCAGTCTTCAGCATTGCAGGTGGCTTTAACCATTACCTCTCTTTCGGTGAGATTTCTGTGTTTTTTTATTGACTTGTATTTTTGAAACAGTTTTCAAACATGTTTGATACTTCGCTAATCATATGTAGAAACATGTATTGTGTTTCGAAGATTATATTGCACAGCATAAAAATTTATAAAGGTTGCTCTGATTAGAAACAACGGAACTGCTTGTATGCTTTGTTAAAGTAAAATCTACTACTTCATAGCCAAATATTGCTCGTGTTCAATTGATTATCCAAGAATGTCAGCACGTTTCTACGTGTTCCTTTTCTGCAAGGAAATGTTTCTACTTGTTGATGCACATTCTAACATTGTTGAAACTGGATGTAATGGTTCTTTTCATTTCTCCAAAAGCGCCAAGAGCAAAAAGGACGGTGTTCAAGTATGCTACTAGCAACGATGACTGCTAAAGTTTGCACACAACGGTCAACATCAAGCTTGCTACTGCAGCTCCATCCATCGGTACGTGAATCCCATCAAAGTAATCTGGATGCTATGTTGTGCATCCCCGAAGTTATGGACACCCTTAGGTTCCTTGGTTTGCTAGGCACTAGCCGGTCGTTGAGCTGGTGAGGGGCTGTGATTTAACTTCGGATGGCCCTCATCACGGGTCCTTATTTTACTGTAATGCTTGCTTGACGTGGTATGGCAGATGAATCATCTTGTGGATTTTTTTTATTTGAGAGAAGATCTATGGATAGCCGTATTACTTGTTTTAGGGAGCTGTCTGCTTTTTCCATAGGAGCACAGGAAACGCTAAACCATTTATCACAGTGTCTCCTTGGCCTGCTTTCTAGAAGTAGAAGCAGTGAATAACCGTTCCCTTCCTCCACGAGGTTCTTTGGAGGAGATTAGGGTTTCTGTCCTCTTGTCGGCGCCGCTGGTCCGACTCACCTCTGGTGACATAGGTACTTTTAAAATCTTGGTTGGGGCAGTGAGGTGGTGGCATGGCAGCAGCCCAGAGTTAGAATAATGTCCTCCCCTACCTGGTGGTGCTTTTAGCATTGGTGGAGGGTGTGCGTGGATGTTTGTCTCCGGCGGATCTCTTTGGATTCGGTCGGCACTGGTCTTCGATGAATCTGCTTTGCTTTGGCACGCGTTGGATTCGGTCAGCCATTGTTCGTGTTTGTGTGCTTACAGGTATGACTCTTCCGATCCATGTTTCTCATAGTCGGTGATGGTTGCTCTTTGGGGCCTTGACACGACGACTTCTTCACTCAGTTGTAATTTTCGTTAGTGATTTGTTTAAATAAATAAATTTGAAAGAGACGTCATGTCTGCCTGGCGATGACGATAAGTTTATTTGGCTCTGGTGAGAAAGGAGCGATGATGACGATGAGGTGCCTTCAACCTGGGGTCCTGGTGATCCTGATGCATGTTCTGTGCCCCCCATCTGAGTCCGAACCTTAAAGAGCCTGGCTCGTTAGAAACGCTGAAATAGATCTTTTCCAGTGAACCAGACCAAGTTTAGCGCAAAGGAGGGGGGTGCGGCGGTGCAGGGTGGAATCGGCAGAGATGGCGGGAGACCAAAATCTACCGCCATGGGATGGCGCAAAATCTAGCCTCATTCCCTTTTTAATCGCTCACCTCTAACGGTAGAAACATCCTGGACGTGCAGACAAACATTCCATCACCCTAGCACCCTCGGTTTATTTATCGTTCAACTAGCCATCGAGAGAGCACGTCGCGCTATTTATCAGCCAGTCAACGCCCCTATCTATCTAGGCGGGATGCCGATCCTCATGCCCTTCTCGCAGTGGCCGGGGAAGGTGCAGATGAAGTAGGCCTTGCCGCCGGGCATCTCGAAGGTGTCGTTGCCGGAGGAGTGAACCGTGGCGCCGTCGGGGGCCTTGCAGTCCATGTACCCGTCCACCTCCACCTTCACCACGTTGTGCGCTCCAGGCTTGTACTTGAACACTAATGGCCATCAAACCAAACGAATGTTAGTAAAGCAAAATGATGGATCGATCCAGCAGCTGGCCGCGTGTGATCGGGTCGCTCACCGAGCGTGTCGCCGGGCTGGATCGGCTTGTCGTTCTCCCAGCCGGCGACGCCGAAGGTCCACCCCTTGTCGCCGCCGACGATCCACTCCCTCGCTCGCACGGTGGTCGCCGCGCAGCACCAGGCCAGAAGCAGCACGAGGGCGACGGCGCCCATGCTTGGTCGTGCCATTGACGCCTCCGACACTCCGGTTCACAGCCGGTAACACACACAAACACACACACAAGAACAATGCCGTACGTCCAGATGCGCTCGGTTTATAAGCGGCTTGATAATGGGCGGCATGGTATCCACCACGTACGGCAAGTGCCCGTCAGCGGTCAGCCCGTATAAGCAAATCCATTGATTAGTGGAATCTGACGTACTTATGCACCATTAAATGTGTGGCATTAACATTTGAAATGAAGAGACGGAATAAAAGTAGGGATACGCATCATTTGTTTCCATGCATTGGACGGGGAAAATAATTCTATGAGAGCAGGTCTCACGTGAGATCTATTCTGATGGATAACACGTG